ACAAATAAGAGGTATCAATAAAGTGACACGGAAAGTCTGCCAGATATTTATTTTTCTTTTCTTAAGTAGGATTTCTCTTTCTTTTCAATAATAACTCTAGAAATTTCTAATTTGTTTGACTCAGGCGTATAAATAGTGGTATAATACGCGATATAACAAACAACAACACATAATGTCACGGAAAAAGTCTTATTGTAAAAAATTGTCACTTGATATTCTTCGCTCAGTTTTTTGGCTGTAAAACAGGTAATGATTATATTTCTTTATATTCGACTAGGAGAAATTAATAACATATAATTTTAATTTAATCAGAATCTGGAAATTCTTGTTCTACACTTCTTGATATGACTATGGGCGTTATAACATTTTATGAAGCATCTTCTCATCACACTAAAAAGAACATGTTAATTTTATTATAACAACGGACTGTTGAATTTAATTTCAACTAAATGTATTTTTGCGGTTTATGAAGACTATTGTATTACTGAAGATGGCCAGATTGTGGCCGAAACGTTTAATGTTTTAATTAATATAATAATAAGTAAATATCACAAATTATAACCTGTGATGTGGTTCTTTATGCTCTTTTTGTATCTTGTTTTTTAAATTGATAACCACGTGAATTTTTTAACTTATATTATTTTTAATTTACTTATTAGGGGCTCCGCACAATAAAAGGAACAGAGAACAGAGAATAAGAATTTCAACCTATCAAAAATCATGTATTGCGAAATACGCAATTTCTGATAGGTTGAAATTCTTATTCTCTGTTCTCTGTCTCCTGTTCCTTTTATTGTGTGGAGCTCCTTATTGTTTAATATTATTATTAGTATTAATGTGAATAGTATCTTTATATAATGAGTTCGTTAACATTATATTATTATATAATTCTGATTTAAAAATATACTCGCTATAAACAATTTTCATGACAAAATCAAATTGTCTTTTTAAACAAAAAAAATCATTCTGTAGCTTTATAAAAACTCAAATTTATAAGCGCCTTTCCAAATTACAATATGGCGGCGAGTCATGTGACCTAGAGGCCTAGATAACAGAGATGCGATATTGCGTCGGCTGAGTTAGCCATTTAAGTAGCCACCGCCATTTTAATTCAGTATAAGTACTCTTAATCTTATAAGCTAATGACAGTAGGCCAAGAATATCCATTTATTTGCCTCACACCCAACAAACGAGAATGGATTAAAATGAATTGAAATGGATTTTCAGAAATATTGATTCACGAATGTTAAAATAAATGCTTTTCAATTCTGAATGCATTTTTATTCATTTATAGGAATCGCAGGATATCTCTATGCCTTTCAATCTAAAAATAATATTAGCTTTTTCAATGCACACAAACATAATTGTGAATATTGTTCAATTCAAAATTTTGAAGGAAATGCAGTTTTTCAATCTAATTGCATCCAATTGAATGCAATTGTATCCAAAAAAAGTATTTTCGCTATTTAAAATACGCATTCGGATAGAAAAAAATTTCAATCCATTTTAATCCATTCTCGTTTGCTGGGTTAAGTTCGATACTAAATATTCACACAAATAAGAATACTTACACTATAATAATAGTTTTTTATTCGACACTTTGTATTGTCTTAATTTTTCTCTATATGTATCCCAGTAAACGAGAATGGATTAAAATGGATTAAAATTTTTTTATGCGTACTTTAAATCCATGAAAATGGATTGAATGGATTGAAATGGATTGAATCCTAGCTGACACTAGCTTAATATTCGAAAAGAAAAAACGTTCATCTTTAAGGGTTACAAATTTTATTCTTAAGACATTTATAATAATTATACCTGAAATTAACTACTTCAAATTGATATTAAAAAACACATCTTAGTAAGATTCGAACCTAGGGCCTCTAAATTATATGAATTTTCTACGTTATCCGTTACATCACTTCTTCAATTGGTAAATATGTTATTCATTCTCTACTTCAATTACAACCAGCTAAATTAGTAACGAAATTATATAGATATAATAAAAATATCATCCTTTAACAGATATAATAAAGTATAAACAATTTATATTATTATGAGACAACATTGGGTAAGTGTTGGATAATCTAATTTCGCTTGGCCGATGTCGCGCGCCATTAGCCTCTCAGCAAACGAAAATGGATTAAAATGGATTGAAATTTTTTCTATCCAAATGCGTATTTTAAATAGCGAATACTTTTTTTGGATTTATTATAATTGGATTCAATTAGATTCAATTGGATGCAATTGGATTGAAAAACTGCATTTCCTATTCAAAATTTTTAATTGAACATATTCACAATTTGTTGTTTTGCACAGAAAAAGCTAATATTATTTTTAGATTGAAAGATATAGGGATATGCTTCATGCAATTCCTATAAATAAATAAAAATACATTCAGGATTGAAAAGTATACATTTTAACATTCGTGAATCAATATTTCTGAAAATCTGAATCCATTTCAATCCATTCTCATTTGCTAATATTCGGGCTAATATTCGGGCTGTGTTCGACTTAGTTTGCGAGTGTTCACATCGATCATTTTACTGCTAATCAAAAATAAACAAATGAATATAACTCAATTATTTTTACGTTACAATTTTTTTGAACTTAGTTGGATTAAAACGAAAAATTTTCTACTTATAATTTTAAATTTAAGTAGCATTTATGATCCATTTTTAAATAAAAACTTTTTTTATTCAATTGGATTGAAAAACTGCATTTCATATTCAGAATATTGAATTGAGCAGTATTCACGTTGCACAGAAATTGCTGATATTATTTTTGAATTTAACTGAATTAAAAAACTATACTTTCTATTCACAATTCTGAATTGAGTAGTATTCATCACGATGCACAGAAAATGCTAATATTATTTTTGGATTGAAAGGCATAGAGATATGCTATATGCAATTCATATAAATGAATAAAAATGCATTCAGGATTGAAAAAGATTTATTTTAACATTCATGAATATATATTTCTAAAAATCTGAATCCATTTTAATCCATTCTCGTTTGCTGGGATGTACATTATAAAGCTATATCTTGACGCATTAGATATTACAATAGTGAATTAAAATGGCACTCTGATAATGTGCTTCAGATAGCCAAT